ATACTAATCAAAACCTTTCTGCGTGTTTTTCTTTTTGCTTATCCCAGAGTGTTCACATTCATCTGCAACCGCTTGAGGACACAACTTTCAGTATTAAGTTAATGTATTTACAGTAAACTGCCATCCCTGCTCATGTTGGCTTGCCCCAAGCAGGTATGGCCTTACAAGGGGAAAGAAAATTGTATATAAAAATAGTAAAAAAATCAAAGTGATGGTGGGCGTGAATCTGTCAATTTGGCACCATCCTGTCCCAGAATTTTGCACTAAATATGGGAGGATTTGCAGTGATTTTTTTTTTTTTTTTTAAAACTTATCTTTTTTTCTTATCTATGGGGCCAATGTGTGCAGAAACGATTGTGTCACTAAACCCTGCCTCATCACAACTCATCATTTAGTTACCTTTTCAAGAGGGGTCAAAATAGTATTAATAAAGAATGAGGTGAAAAAACCCCAGAGCTTCTCCTTATACCATAATCATATAGAAGGACTACGAGGTGGAGCAAGAAAGGGTGAGGAAGAAGGGGAGAAGGAGACAGAAGACAGGGAAGAGGAACAGGTAAAGGAAGGAGGGGAGGAAGAGTGGAGAGAGGAGGAAGAAGCCAGCAAGGAAGAGGAAATACAGGTGACTGTCCTATCAGCATTGCACAAGGCACGTGGTGGTACCACCAGCTCCAACAATGTTGTCCATCCTTCATCCTTCCCAGCCACCAGAAGATTGACACCTGGTGTGTCATGAAGGTTATGTAGAGTTTCTGCCCATGCTTTCTGAATCATGTGTGCATGGTTATGTGTACCGTGCTGCTGACAGCATGATCCAGTAACATAAACACATTACATTACACATGTTGGTGGAAGACATGGCTTGACCTCTGGGTAAATTAATGGTGGCTGGGTACCTTCCACTGTGGAGTAGCACAGGTCAAGCCAGTAGCTTTGCCAAACCTGCATTAAGATGTTGGGCATGCGGTGGTTTGGGAAATGTTTTCTTCCACTCCAGCGGCTGTAGAAGACATACCTGCCTTGGAAAGGATGCTAGAAATGATGGGTTCGATGTAGAAGAATTCTTCAGAGATTCAAGCCTTCACTTGACTCTCCTAAATGATGGCCCATGACCCTCTTTCCTGCTTAATGTGGAATGCTCTAAGCCTTTGAAACCCCTTGTAAGATTTATTTCCCTTTAGAACGTTTGCCTCTCACTTTCACCTGAAGGCTAGCTGAGGACTTAACGTTATTTTTTAAGAGTAAATATTCCTATAGATTTTTTATCTGTTGCAGCCAAAACTACCCTAAAAGACTTTAATTTTTAAAGATGAAAAAAATACTAATGGGGTGCAGCTGCTGTAAGAAAGTTATCTAAGCTAAATGTAAAAAATCAATTACACATCCAAAATGCATATGTCATGCCAGAATATGTTGAAGCTATCTGTGAAAATCATACTGTTCCACAACACAACATTCAGCTTAAAAGCATATTCCAAGCATGTCATTAAAAGGATTGGTGTTTTTTTTTCCAATGTTGCCCTCAAAGCTGCATTAAAAAGGACCCTCTCCCTGCTGTATGGTATTTAAATTTTTTTTTAGCTTTGTTAAATATCTCTCATGGCATTGCTCAGCTCCATTTGCCATGTTAGCTTGCTTATTAGCCTTGAAAATGGCCAGGACTTAGTATCTCGATTGACTCCTACAGACTGATAAGTTTGGGTTTTGAAAATTTCAGACAGGTTTTGACAAACTTCCTGTGAATCAAACCCGGGCAGATTTACCCTTTTCTAATAATAATAATAAAAACATTTTTTAACCTGTCCAGTTACTATTCCCCAGGATGAGATGTGGCTGGAGGTGTCTGCAGGTAGCTCACAGACATTACATCATTACCAAATGCAGCCAAATACAGATGGATCAAAAGACTGTCATCTAATGTCTACGGGCACATTAAATGATGTGCAAAATAGAGAAATTATTCAGGTTTTGGTTAGAGCCTCATGCTAAACATTTGCATTAGTCATTATAAATGAATGTGTTTTTTTCATTATGGTCTTGGAAAGCTTCTGATTGCTACTTTGCAGATCTCATAAATGATTTAAAACTGCTATAGTGTGGTTTTATAATAGATGTTTATGTGATTCCTTTTAGCTTTATTTGAGTTAGATTTTTTTCCTGATTTAATGCTTATTACTATCATGTTTTAGTTGTATCCTTTGGTCATACTGCTGTTATTGATTTCTCTAGGAAATGTTGCAACCAACAAAAATAGCAGATTTTCAAAATTTATGTAATCTCTTTCATTTCTCCCATGGATGTGGGTTAAATTAGTTTTTGTATGGTCTAGGATGGCCCGTACTTACTGCTCAGGCTAGGGAACTGTATATGGTAAGTTGCTCCAGAGTAATCTAGCCTTTGGCAGGAGTTTGTATTCCTGTGATCCTTATTGCATTGGGTCTCCCCAGGTTTTTATCCTGGAGAAGGTATAGCTGGTTTGAATGAAGAGAGGGTAATTCTTCAGTCTAGGACAGGGGTATCAAATTCAATTTCATCAGGGGCAGCACCAATATTATGCTTGCCCTCAAAGGGATGGTTGTATCTGTAAGACTAGATGTCCAGAGCACCCCACCACCCTTTACATCAATCACAGTGCAGAGAAGAGGGGGTGCTGCAACTGCACAGGGAGGCGTAGGATCTGTTGGAGTTCTGTCCTCCTCTCTTCTGCCAACTGCTGAGATGGCGGTGGGGGGGGGGGGGGGGCAGAGACGAGTTTCTCTGCAGGCTACATGGAGAAGTCTAGGATCTGGTGGAGAAGTTTTGTCCTCCTCTCTGCTGCTGACTGCTGAGATGGGGGGGGAGAGGGCCACATGAAATGGCCTGGTGGGCTGGATTTGGCCCATGGTCCTTGTGTATGACACATGTGGTCTAGGATATAGTGCTGGGAAAGTAAAAATGCTTGCTGGTAAGTGATACCAGACTGTAAAGAGTGTTCATCTGTGAGGTCTGTCTATGGCATTACCAGACATAGCCCAGAGCTGGTTGGACGCTTGTTGAACTGAGTTTTTAGAGTGCGGACACTCTGAAAGCAGTGCCTGGTGAGTGACTGCTGTTTGACTCACTGCTTGGACATAAAACTTCACAGATGGTTTAAGTAGTTCACTAGAGGTTATAATATGTTTATATTTGGGATGACATACTCTCAAATCATGAAGACAATGTAAAGTGACAGGAGCGAAACATTTCTGAAATATTACTTGTAATGTAATTAACTGCTTTCCCACCACCCTATAGCAGAAACACTGCTACAGGGCGGCAGGGGTGTGCAAAATCACGTGTGTGTGTGTGTGTGTGTGTGTGTGTGTATATACAGTTGCAAGAAAAAGTATGTGAACCCCTTGGGATTACGTGGAGTTTTGCATAAATTGGGCATAAAATGTGCTCTGAACGTCATCTAAGTCACAACAATAGAAGAACACAGTCTGCTGAACATAATACTACACAAACATTAGATGTTGCCATGGTTTAATTGCACATAACATGTAAACATTCACAGTGCAGGGAGGAAAAAGTATGTGAACCTTTGGACTTAATAACTGGTTGACCCTCCTTTGGCAGCAATAACCTCAACCAAACATTTCCTGTAGTTGCAGATCAGACCTGCACAACGATCTGGAGTCATTTTGGACCACTCCTCTTCACAAAACTGTTTCAGTGTAGCAATAATCTTGGGATGTCTGGTGTGAATCGCTCTCTTAAGGTCATGCCACAGCATTTCAATCGGGTTGAGGTCAGGACTCTGACTGGGCCACTCCAGAAGGCGTATTCTGTGCTGTTGCAGCCATTGTTTTGTTGAATTACTTGTATGCTTTGGGTCATTGTCCTGTTGCATCCCCCATCCTCTGCGGAGCTTCAGTTGGCGGACAGATGGTCGTACGTTTTCCTGCAAAATGTCCTGATAAACTCTGGAATTCATTTTCCCAATGACAACAATCCGTCCAGGCCCTGAGGCAGCAAAGCAGCCCCAAACCATGATGCTCCCTCCGCCATGTTTCACAGTGGGGATGAGGTTTTGATGTCGGTGTGCTGCGCCTTTTTTTTTCTCCACACATAGTGTTGTGTGTTCTTCCCAAACAACTCAATCTTGGTTTCATCTGTCCACAGTATATTTTGCCAGTAGTGCTGTGGAACATCCAGGTGCTCTTTTGCAAACTTCAAACGTGCTGCAATATTCTTTTTGGACAGCAATGGCTTCCTCCGTGGTGTCCTCCCATGTACTCCATTCTTGTTTAATGTTTTCCTTATTGTAGATGTGTCAACAAAAATGTTAGCATGTGCCAGAGATTTCTGTAGGTCTTTAGCTGACACTCTGGGATTCTTCTTTACCTCATGCAGCATTCTGCGCTGTGCTCTTGCAGTCATTTTTACAGGACGACCACGCCTAGGGAGAGTAGCAACAGTGCTAAACCTTCTCCATTTGTAGACAGTCTGTCTTACCGTGGACACATGTACATCAAGGCTTTTGGGGATACTTTTGTAACCCTTTCCAGCTTCATGCAAGTCAACAATTCTTGATGGTAGGTCTTCTGAGAGCTCTTTTCTGCGAGGCATGGTTCACATCAGACAGTGCTTCTTGAAACCAGTAAACCCAAAACAGGTGTGTGTTTTTTAAGGGCAGGACAGCTGTCAGCAACACATCCAATATCATCACACTGATTGGAGTCAAGGTTGGCTCACTCCTGGCTGCAATTAGCTCTGGGAGAAGTCATTAAGCTAGGGCCTCACATACTTTTTCCTCCCTGCACTGTGAATGTTTACATGTTATGTGCAATTAAACCATGGCAACATCTAATGTTTGTGTAGTATTATGTTCAGCAGACTGTGTTCTTCTATGGTTGTGACTTAGATGACATTCAGAGCACATTTTATGCCCAATTCATGCAAAACTCCATGTAATCCCAAGGGGTTCACATACTTTTTCTTGCAACTGTATATATATATATATATATATATATATTGTGTGATTTTTGCATTTCCGGGTGGCCTCACCTGTCGATCAGCAAGTCCCGAACAGTGATTCCCCACCGGCACCTGGCTATCGCCATGTATCGCCGACAGGGGAGAGACCTGTATGTAAACAATACAGATCTCTCCCCTGTCAGCTCCTGCACATTGCTTTGTATTGCTCTGCATAGCAGAGCAATACAAAGAAATGTGCTGACACCGTAAAGCACACACACAGCACACAGTAAAACACAACACAGTACACAGTTAACCCTTTGATCGCCCCAGATGTTAACCCCTTCCTATCTAGTGTCATTAGTACAATGTCAGTGCTTTGTATTACCACTGATCACTGTATTGGTGTCACTGGGGATGTCAGTGACAGTAGTTAGTTCCCCCCAAGTGTCAGAATGCCCGCCGCAGTCCCACTCTAAGTGGCTGATCGCCGCCATTACTAGTATAAGAAAAAAAAATTACATTATCTGTACTGCCATTTGTAGACACTATAACTTTCACGTAGACCAATTACTATACACGTATTGGGATTTTTTTTTAGCAAAGACGTAGCAGAATACATTTTGGCCTAAATTTATGATGAAATTTGATTTTTAAAAAGTTTTAATGGACATGTTTAATATCAAAAATTGTTCATCTTTTTTTTATAGTGCAAAAAAATAAAAAACACAGAGGCGATCAAATACCACTGAAAGAAAGCTCTATTTGTGGGGAAAAAAGAACACACATTTCATTTGGGTGCAGAGTTGCATGACTGTGCAATTGTAAGTTAAAGTAACGCAGCGCCATATCGCTGGTCAGGAAGGGGGGCAAATTTTGTGGAGGGCAAGTGGTTAAATTTATATTGAGCAGGAAGGGTTAGAGAGAAAGTAAAACAGGCCTGGGCAGATTGTCAGGTACCATTGGCACTTGTCAGTAAAGCTATTGTGTACAAGAATATTTTTGAAGCTGTTATAGGCTGCTTAGCCTCACTCAGACCTGTTTTAATCAATTACACAACTTCTCTGGAATCCATATAAATTCTACGTTTGATATTCGTTCATTTGGAGCTGACAGTGATGCTAATGCATATACAGTGTATATTTGCTCCACTGGATCTATAAAAAGATATAATGAGTGATATACTTTATATGCCAAGGCAACTTTTACCTCTTGCCATGGACCAATCTAAAGCATCTCTATCACTTGGCAATGGCAGTGGTATACAGAACACTACTGATGACCCTGTTTGTAATACATATCACAAGATGGCATCTATGACAGCTTTACAGTTGAATTTTTTAGGAAGGGCATCACACAGTGTGCTTTAGCTTTGATTTAGGAAATAATACCATTAGGAGATCTAGTCTTTTTGTATGATGAGCTTTTACCTTTATCATAGAATAGCCACAAGACAGGGACAGTAAATAGTAATGTGCTGATTGGGCCTGCTCACCTTGGGATCACTTCCACTGTAAATGAAGAGAGATACAGTACATGAGTATAATATTATTGCAACTGTTGTTCCACGTTTGTATTAATATCCTAGATCAGAAATGGTCAACTTACATGATTTAAGGGGCCCTAAATTTAGTTCCTGACAATACCAATGGGCCACACATAATATTCAGTGAGTATGAAGGTACAGAAAGCTGTTAAACTACAGGCATGCATCAGGAAATGGTACCATACTACGGGCACGCTACAGTAGATGGTTAGAGACTGAAGGCATGCTGCAGGACTTGGAGACTGAGGACAACAATAGACTGCAGACAATACATGGAACTTCTAGAAATGACTGCTATTACGACTCTTTCACAAATCAGTGCTTCTACATTTGTGCTCCTGACAGCCCCTTTAAAACTACTTATGCCACAGTTCATATTTCTCTCACCAAGTTTAGAGCAAAAAAAATAGACTGTACAGAAAAAAGTAAGATAGTGTGAAATAAATAAACCAAACCATTTAAATCCTGAGAGACCGATTAATGAATAGTTTTTCTTCAATGGCCCGAGAAAGCACCTGAGTATGGAAAACAGACTACTGTCTGCAGGTTCCCTGAGGGCCACATAGTACAGTGCATCCAGAAAGTATTCACATCGCTTAACTTTTGCCACATTTTGTTATGTTACAGCCTTGTTCCAAAGTGGATTCAATTAATTTTTTTCTTCACTATTCTACAAACAATTCCCCATAACGACAACATGAAAGAAGTTCATTTTGAAATCTTTGCAATTTATTAAAAATGAAAAAATCCACATGTACATAAGTATTCACAGCTTTTGCCATTACACTCAAAATTGAGCTCTGGTGCATCCTGTTCCCACTGATCATCCTTGAGATGATTCCACAACTTGATTGGAGTCCACCTGTGGGAAATTCAGTTGATTGAACAAGATTAGGAAAGGCATAAACCTGTCTATATAAGGTCCCACAGTTAACAGTGCATGTCAGAGCACAAACCAAGCTATGAAGTCCAAGGAATTGTCCGTAGACCTCCGAGACAGGATCGTATCAAGGCACAGATTTGGGGAAGGGTACAGAAAAGGTTCTGCAGCATTGAAGGTCCCAATGAGCAGAGTGGCCTCAATCATCCCTAAATGGAAGAAGTTTGGAACCACCAGGAATCTTCCTAGAGTGGGTCGCCCAGCCAAAATGAGCGATAGAGGGAGAAAGACCTTAGCCAAGGAGGTCACTCTGATAGAGCTCCAGTGTTTCTTTGTGGAGAGAGGAGAACCTTCAAGAAGAACAACCATTTCTGCAGCAGTCCACCAATCATGCCTGTATGGTAGAGTGGCCAGACAGAAGCCACTTCCCAGTAAATGGCAAATGGTAGCCCGCCTGGAGTTTGCCAAAAGGCACATGAGGGACTCTCAGACCATGAGAAACACAACTCTCTGGTCTATTGAAACACAGATTGAACTCTTTGGCCTGAATGCCAAGTGTCATGTCTGGAGGAAACCCAGGCACCCCTCACCACCTGGCCAATACCATCCCTACAGTGAAGCATGGTGGTGGCAGCATCATGCTTATGGGAGGTTGTTTTCAGTGGCAGGAACTGGGAGACTAGTCAGGATCCAAGGAAAGAGGATTGCAGCAATGTACAGAGACATCCTTGATGAAAACCTGATGAAAACCTTAGACTGGGGTGACGGTTCACATTTCAACAGGACGACGACCCTCAGCACACAGCCCACATAACAAAGGAGTGGCTACAGGCTTACTTTGTGAATGTCTTGGAGTGTTGCCTTGTCTAATCTTATCTTTTAGCAAGTTCTACATGTCAACTACTTTTTTGGTGGCAATCAATAATTGCAAAGGATACTAATGTTAGAGGTGGTTTGAGCCTCCTTTCAGTGCCCATAGGCAAACTCCCTTATTACAATCACTAGAGGAAAATTGTAAATGTCTCCTGGGCTTTTTCCTGTATGCCTTTGCATTTTTCTTTACAATATATCACTGCAGACTGATAGGGGTTTATTTACTAAAGCTGGAGAGTCCAAAATCAGACTCCCTTCTGCATAGAAACCAATCAGCTTCCAGGTTTCATTGCCAAAGCTTCATTGAACAAGCTGAGGTTAGAAGCTGATTGGTTTCTATGCAGAAGGGAGTCTGATTTTGGACTCTCCAGCTTTAGTAAATAAACCCCATAATGTCTGACAAGGGAACCAGCCAATGCTGTGTACCAACCTCAGCCCTGGATCACTAGTTTTTCACTGCCATTAGAGGTGAAGGAAATGGAAGGTAGACAAAAGTCTGTTAAAACAACTTTAGGTTTTTTTTTTTTTAATTTGTAAATGGGTGAGAGCAGAGTAGGAAGGAGGGAGTTGATATTTGCCATGCGGTGGGCTTTAAGTGGATTGTGCATGTTTTGCATGGATAGTCACTATGGGAGTTATTTACTAAGGCTTAAGAGTGCACAATCTGTTGCTGCTCTGCATAGTAACCAATCAGCCTCCAGGTTTTATTGCCAAAGCTTAACTGAACAAGCTGAAATTAAAAGCTGATTGGCTACCATGCACAGCTGTACCAGATTCTGAGTGGACCAGTTTTAGTAAATATCTCCCTATGTGACTATTTAGAAATATTGGTTTTCATATCCAATACCTACTATCAAATGTGCACCAGTTTTGTGATCATTCTCTGTTCCAGTGCCAGACCTTCAATTTTCTGTGATGTCATCAATGACAACGGTTTGCTTCCCTTACATATTTTCTCCCACGCTTCCTGTCTGCATCCTTAATTCTCCAGGGTTCCCTGGGATTACTAAGCAGGAGTCTGGATCGATGTCAGAATTCATTGAGAGTCAGCAACACAAAACAATCCAATATGCAGAGATAAGCAAAGCCAAGAGCAAGCTAATACTGTCATGGCTAAAGACTTAAAGCGGTATTAAACCCAAAACCAAAATATTATGTATATATTTTTCGGCTTACTAATTATTAAATGTGGTGGCTGCATTAGTTTTCCTTTTAAGATTTTTTCCCTCTGTTTTAACCTGGTGATCTGACCAGTAGCATTCTGTATTCGAGTGCCCCCATTCTAGATGAAGGAGCAAAGGTGTCAGATTTGGACAGCAGCATTGTCAGTCTGGAGGGATGGGATTGTTAGAGTTCTAGCAGATTCAGATATACTAGCAAACTTATGCCAAACTCTAGCTCACAATACAGTTACACAACCAGTTACAGCAACAGTTTTTTTTCCTTTTGGGATAAAGGTTTTACATGAATAAAAGCAGACCAATTTAAGCACCCTTGTCAGTGTTAAATTGTCTCTTCCCTCTAAACTGCTACATTTTCAGCTTGTTTTGTTGAAAAACAACAGACTTACTGGCCAGATGTACATATGAAAATAAAAGAAAGAAAGCCTAAATTAGAAATCTAATGCAGCCACCACATCTAAGAACTGGTAAGCTGCAATATAATAAATGTTTGCTTTTGGGTTAAATACCACTTTAAAGCACAATTCTATTGTTGATAAGAAAAAACAGTCCCCTCTAGGTGACCTATAGTCACTTCTGAGATTTTAGAAAAAAAAATCACCAGGTCCATTTCAACATATCCTTTCTAATAATAATTTCTGAATGGTAGGGTCTGCTTTATTACAGCTATCTGATTAAATCTTAGCATTCTAATGAGGAACACTGCAGTGTCTGCATCCCTTAACAGATTAGCAAACTTTAGGGAATATCTCACTAAAAATAAATCTGCTATACCAGTGTGTAGCAGTATGTGAAATCAATAAACCTTACACCAAATGCATTTATTGAACATCCGTTAAAACTCATTTACAGTATATAAAACTCTATCACTACGACCCAAACTTATACTGTACATACAATTACTTTACTATCCATCCTTTGAAAAGGTTTGAACATTTTTGTATATCATTTTTATTTTTTTTACTTTGTAGCACACTATAATCTAGTTAAATTTATG